GTATGTGGCTTGTGAGCATTCTTTGGAGAAGTCAAAATTGTCCCTATATCGTGCCCCAGTGTATTCGAAGCCTTGTCGAACATGGATACCTAACGTGCCCCTGGCTCAGGTTCTTCGTCAGATCTTGGTATTTTGTAGTTGTTTATTTTTATAGCACTGTTTGTATTTGACCTTAGTCTATTTTTGTAGATATGCGCAATAACTTGATCAACTTCTTTGTGGCTCTGCTCTGACATTGCGCCTTAGCTTGGTTTCTTTCGGATCTTCCCTTGTGCTTAGATTAATGGTCGTAATAGCCTCTTGATATGGTTGTGTATTGTCAGCTTTTATTTTTATTTCCCTCGCCATTTTCTCAGAGAGTTCGAGATCTATATAATCTTCCTCTTTATCTTGGTTGCTAGGAACATCAAAATTATATCGGATCGCAGTAGTAGCATTATCGGTGGTTTTGGGCATGAATTTGCGCCTTTATCATGTTTTGGCGCAGAATTAGTATATTAATATTTGAAAATGCATATGCAGAGAAAGTATTGCCATTTTTTTAAAATTTATGATATAAATGCAAGAGAAAGACAGAGATCTTGATTGAAAACAAAACATAACTTTTATTAATCGTGAATATTGTCTGAAATAAAACAGGGAAACCCTTACAAGCAACCCCTATGCCTTGGGCTTGACATAAGTTCTTTCAAAAACAAGAAAAATTAACTAAGAAAGAAAAAGGTCTCAGGAATCTCCACGGTCGTCCATCTTTTGAGTTTTCTCCTGGGGCGCATTCTTGGATGAATTCAGTTTCCCCTTTGGTGTTGGCTTTGTTGGATATTTTTTCCCCATGTTCGTCATGCACTACTCCATTGCTGACAAAAGTCTCTTGGATGGGAGGAAGATGTGCTTCACCCTTCATATTAGCTTTATGTTTTTCTTTAGGGTATTGTCCAAACTAGACTATCCCATGGTTCCCTAGCCTTTGTAGAGCTCTTTCGAAAGCTTCGTTGTGTCCTAGCGGGAGTCCACATCCCAACAAATACTCTTTCAGCGAGTTTAGAGGGGTTTTTTCTTGTCTGCTTTCCCCAGAGTTCGTGACTACCTCAATTGCATTTATTATCCGCCCATCGTGCAAAGGCGTAGGGTCTGATTTGATGTTGGGTTCCTCAAAAGTGATGTCTTGAGAATCCAACAAATCTTGCACCTTGTGTTTGAAAGGCCAACATTATTCTATAGTATGTCTAGGATAATAAGAATGATACTTGCATTTGGCGTTGGCATCGTATCTCCGTGGGAGTGGCCCGACTGGATGACCTAGAGGCTTGAGTTCCACTAAGGATGCCTTAACTAGCTGTTGTAATAGCTAATTGGGTGGCATCGGGAGTGGATCAAATTTTATGGCGGCCTTCTACCTTATTCCTGCCCTAGGGGGATCACTAATGGTTGTTGAACCCTGGGTTGTGGTGCTACAACATTAATTTCTCCCTCTTTTCCTTTGGGGAGGTTTGAAGCAGGCCATTTTGAATTGTAGGGAGCATTTGGTGGTCCCCCTGATATCTTCCCAATTTTTATCCCAGTATCAATTCTTTCTCTGATGGCCACTAGGTCTGATAACCCCGAAGAGATACTTTCAACCATCATCTCATAATACAGCCCGTGTAAAGTCCCTGTGAACGTGTCTACTAGTTCTTTCTCCAACAGTGGTGGTTGCACACAGGATGCCAACTCCCTTCATCTCTGACCATACTCCTTGAAGGATTCTTCTTTCTTCTGGGCCAGGTTTTGGAGTTTCATGCGGGTAGGCGCCATGTCCAGGTTATATTTGTAATGCTTTAGAAAATCATTAGCGAGATCTGCCTAGGTTCGAATATGCGTTTGCTCCAATCGCATATACCAGTCTGAAGATGCCCCACTTAGGCTATCTTGAAAATAGTGAATCACCAGCTTCTGATCGTGAGCATGGGCATGTATCTACCTGCAATACATACGAAGATGATTTCTTGGACAAGTGAGCCCCTTGTATTTATCAAAGTCATGTACTTTAAACTTTGGTGGAATCACCACATCAGGAACTAGGCCCATTTCGAGAGTGTCTACTTCGAAAGCATCAAAACCCTCCATAGCTTTTAGTCTTTCCTCCATAACTTTATACTGATTTATTACCAATGGATTATCAACAGCATAAGTACTGGTCGTCTTTAAGGGCGCTTGGTTGGCATCCTCTGGGTCGTGGTCTTCGTATTGCATGTTTAAGTAGTTGTCTGTATTATTGGTTGGGATCTGTAGGGTATGTGATGCCCCTGCTTTTGGTGGCTGTAGGATAAACCCTTCAGTTTCAGCTTCTGGTTGGGCCATGACAGACTTTTGAAGTCCTGCCCCTGACTCTTTCCCTAGTTGGTGACCGCTTGATGCACCAAAAGTAAGAGCTACTTCCTCGAAAGCTACCCTGGGAATTTGGTCTTGCATGTCAATAATGTTCTTCAAAGCCAGAAGAACTTGACTCAAATCTCCTTTCATTGAACTTACGTCGCCCTTTACTTGGTCAAGATCCTCTCGGAATGCAGCCTGAGTTTCCTCGATTTTCTCCATTGCTTTCTGTTGATAAGCCCTTGTTTGATATATGGGCCAAGGAGGTGGAGACCTTCTTTTACCGATGGTTCAAATGGAGAGATGCTTGTGGGGAAAATGAGTTTTAACATGATATGCGGGTGTTCGTGAATGCGTGTGTGCGAATGAATGTGTATGAATATGAACTGGTTAAATGTCTTATTCATCTGGGTACATGCTTGTCCTTTATTATTTTATTTGGCGATTGCCTTTAAAATAGACACGCCAACGGGATGTGGAAACATAATGCCTTTATTGAAAGTAACGTAATTCAGATGTTGAAAAATATTACAATCTTAAACCAAAACTTTATTTACGTGAAATCAAACGAAAAGGAAATGAGTCTTCTAGGCGCGCCTGCGGATATCTGCTCTTGAAATCATCCCCCGTTGTTGGACAAAGCTTGAGAAAGTCTTAAGCGCATTATTTCCTTTTCGTGGCTTTGATCTCAGACATGTTTGGCGTGTTGACGCAGGCAGGTTGTTTCCTTCGGAATCCATTTTTAAGGACAGTCACCGAGATCTTGATTTTATTTTTGGTACCCCATAAATAAGACAAAGGAACGAGTGACGAACATATGATGAATGTATGACGAACACATGAAATATAGGAATGCGTGGGTGTAAGGCTGAGTGACGGGACCTTTTGTAATACATACCCTTATAAGATAGATTTCTTAGTCTTGACCTACAGTTGATCTACCCTCCCAGAAGGTGGTTTCCTTAAGGACATCATGAATAACACCGGAGGGAAAAGGCCCAAGGGCCTCCCTTAGGTGGAGCCTCTTTACGGACCGAGACGTCCGTCTCAAAGTCGTGAAAGGCCTCGTCATGAGATTTTGGGTTAAGATCGTTACAAAGAGTCATGGGTGACCTTCCAAAGTCCTACTCGTCAAGAGGATTTCTCTCGATAAATATTCCTTTTTCGGAAGTTAACTGACTCTAGGCGAAGTTCTCACATAAACTCGCAGGATGATGTACCCCCTAAGCTAATAGACAAACCTTCTTTCTAAGGGTTATCGAAAATATTTTTTTGAAATAAAAAACTGCCACATAGTAAATATATAATAATAAAGAAAAATAGATGATAAAATAAAAAATGCAATAAATAAATTAATGCAAATAAATAAATAAAAATAAAAACCCAAAAGAGACCTAAAACCTAGGGTTAAGGAGAATCCCCAGCAGAGTCACCAGCTGTAGCGACTGGTTTTTTAATCAAGAGTCACCATTATTAATTTCATATACCTTGTTCACAAGGATATTAAACTCTAGGTTTAGGTTTGGAATAAACAGGGTTTTAAGTTTTAATTAGCAAGACTCGCCACGATTTTAGATCGCGTGCCTACGTATCCTCTTATGAGGAATCAAAGTCCCAATTCGTAGTTCGTATGGGTTGGTGTCTTTTAGAGGGTTTGTAAGCATATTTTGAATCACTTCGCACTCGGTCGGGAGTAGTGATTGCAGAGATTTTGACTGAGTACGCAGTAAGCCAAAATCGGTTTGAAACCCTATTTGCAAAAAGAATGTTGATTAGTTTAATTTGTTCGCGAAAATAGTTTGAGGTTTGTTTGTATTTTTTTATTGTATTAATTGTGAAAAATCTTGGATAGTGCATGATAAAAGATGTTTTAATGCAAATAGTATAGAAAATAATATATGTAATTTTTATACGAAAACGATTTATTTGATCATATAGTAACGCTTACATATACTAAATAATAATTAATATTTAAAATATGATAATAAAAATTAATAGTAATAATTATATTAATTAATAAAAATGGGTAAATAATTAATAAAATATAATATAAAAAAATATAATATAAAAAAAGAAAATATAAAAGAAGAAAAATAATAATTTTTGAATAAACCTGGGGGTGCATTTCTTAATTAACCAGTAAATAATGGGGGGTGTTAATAGAGGCTGGGTTAGACCCAGAATGGTCAAGGCAGAGAGGTTCACTATCAGCGCCGGGGACAGCTAGCCGTTAGGGTTTCAGATATCGAAACTCTAATCGCATCAGTCTTTGATCTTCAGCGCGAGACGATGCTCTTGGTTCTTCTGTCTTTCTTCTTATCCTCTCTGTATTAATCCTTTTTCCAATATTTTTTCTTCCCCCCAATATGCCGACAAAGCCTTCAAACATGCAATTACTTTCACAAAGGATGTATTAGGAATATGGGGTCCTCGACACAAATCAATAAGGAGTCCACATTTGTACACTGTTATGGTCTTGTCAGCAGGAAAATCATTGATGATTTCAACCTTAACTTATTATCAAAAAAAAAAATATCTCAAGCGCCTGGTCACGTGTCACTTCAATGCGCTCAAAGGGTTGTTTTTTCGTAACCGCCTTCAATGCTCCAGCTTCAGTTTGTTTAAAGTGATCATCATTCAAACCCAAATCACCGTAAAAGCGTATAGTAGAAACCCTCTTCTCTGGTAGTACAAGGTCCAATGCAGAGCTTGCATTCATACTCTGTCTCAAGAGGCTGTCCAAGAATGTGAGCACTAGAATTCCAGAAAGTGTCACGTCCTTCATCATCATCAAACTTAAACATCTGAAGCAACGAATCCTCTTCAAGAGGACGATTCATATCCCATAGCAATCCGTTAACCTTATAAATAAGAGCATTATTGGCCAAATTCTTAGAGATTTCACGAGCCACATCAAACAGAGTTTTCTGCCATTTCTTTCCTTCCTTCACTTTTCTGTCGGGGAGCGTTACCTTGATCGGATCTGATGACAGTGATAGGCGGCGAGTCTGTTGCTCCTCCTGAATCGCCTCGAATACACTAATGCGTTTTGGGATGGTTGCGCTTAGGTAGGATTCGTCTTTCGCGTGAAAAAACACGACGACAGGTGTGGCGGCGAAGATGGTGGGAGAGGAATAGAAACAATTACTAAGGTGATGAGGGAATGAGGTTGAAGAAGAGTTACGACGCAAACAGGTTCGAGAGTATCGCCTCCTCTAATGGTGTTTATCTCTTTCGTTTAAGCGTTTTTTTCCCCTCCGTCTCCCCCTGCCCACTGCAGCAAAAAATGTGTTGTTTAATACCGTGACCCAAAATCAACTGGGCTTTGCTTTCATCAAGTTTTAGTTCAGCCCAATACCTATCTTATTCAGCAAACGTTTTTCCCTTCCACAATCATATACCAGTTTTTTAGCAAAAGAAAACAAAAAGTAATATTTAACAAAATATTATTGTAATAAAAGGTTGATTAATAAAAAAAATATATATATTATGTTTCTAACAAAGAAATATATTTTTGTTTATTTTTAAGATAATAAAAGTTTTAATACTAATATTTTTCTAAAACAATAATAATGCCAAATCACAAAAGGCATTAGTCTTGTTAGAACCTTAAATGAGTGTATAAATTGATAGACACACCCAGCTTCTTACTAACAACAATCGTACTTGAAAACTTGATAATTGTTCGAAATAGTTTTATTTTTGAATCGCATGGGCCATTGGCCAACATGCCTCGCGAATGGATTCACGGATGCATGGGTTTTTCTGTTTTTTTTTTAAATAAAAAAAAAACCCTTAGTCTTGGATAAAGATAGGTCATCAGATACTGTTGTACCGTCTTTAATCAAATATTTCTTCTATTTAAATCTTGAAAGATAAAATTAACGAGGTATGACAAATTTGGGGTACGACACACATATATATATATATATATATATATATATATATATATATATATATATATATATATATATATATATATATATATATATTATAAAAAAAACATAATTTTATTTTTCTTTTACACTATATATATACACATAATTATATATCAAATTAAAAAAAATTCAAACAACAATCAACAATCCAATTAATATATACATATATATCAAATTCAAAATATAATTAAATAACATAAATACCTATTCTTCAATCTCTTTCTAACTTCTTGTACAACCATTTTGTTCAATCTTCCTTCTAATCTCTTCAATTTCTTGAGAAAAAAAACATAAATCAACATCACAAAACAATATTAACCTATAACGAAAATATTAAAAATAAATTGAAGAAATATTAGACAACTTACCTTTATTACAAATGAAATTTGAAATTGAATTTGGATGTTATTATGAAATACAAGGTTGAATTGAAATGGAACAAGATAGACATAAGAGAGAAAGAAGAAAAAAAAGTAGAAGAAAATACAAATGGGTTTCTGGAAAGAGAGATTGAGCGAATATCTTTATTAGTCAATCAAAGACGTGAATTTTACGTCGCAATCTTATCACGTGAGATTCACGTCGTAATCTTCAACGTTATAATTTAAATCAACATCAATCAATTAGTGACGTGAATTTCACGTCGCAACCTTGCCACTTGAGATTCACGTCACAACCCCCAACGTTATAATTTAAACATCAATCAATCAGCGACGTGAATTTTACGCCGCAACCTTGTCATGTGAGATCCATGCCGCAACTCCTACAACAATTATATTTTTTATACAGTCAACCTGCACGTTTCAGTATCACTTCACGTCAAAGTCAGGCGTTTTCCCTCTTAAAAATTTGCGATGTGTTAAATACGTCACAATCAATTTTTTTGAAAAATTAAAAATTCCCCTCTTCAAAATGCCCGACGCTTTATATATTTTTATACAAAAACAAAATCTGACTGACAAAGATCAAATTTTGCTTTTATTATTTAAATATTAAAATAACGTAGTGACGTAATTATCACAACACAACTGCTAAATTTTTGTGACATGATAATCAAATCATAAAAACACGTTGTTGGAGAACATATTTCTTAGAATGTGTATTCTTTAATTATTACTATTTTTACGCTACTTTCTATATATTTATAAAATTAATTTAATAAATATATAATATTTTATAATAATATTATTATATTTTTTAATTTGTGTGTAAAAAACTTAAAAGATGTTATTTTAAATAGAATGTAATAGTTTTTAGTGCCGAATTGAGTACCATGAGGAGGTGATTGTATTAATTATCAATAATGGACACAATTAAATAGGGTGATGGTCCGGTTACTCTGATGTGAAACGAGAGAGGGGATATGATATTTTGAGATACATTCATATATAATAAGAGATTGGTGATATCATACAATTGAAAATATAGTGTTAGAAAGTCACATCTTCAACTACATGAAAATCACACTCACACACTAAATAGACACAATATTTTGACATTTCCAACACAATAAAGACATGTAAGAAGAATCTTAAACACACAACCTTGTTTTCTTGTTTTGTTTGCGGTCAATGATTTTGCTAATTTATATTTATTTTATAAAAATAGTAGCAACTTATTTTTTCAAAGTAGTAATAATAGTAGCTTATTAGTTAACGAGAATATCCGAAATTCTTGTTTTCTTATTTGGCAAGATTCACATTAATTTTAATCTCTAATTGAAAACATTAAGCTGCACCACGCCAATATTCTTGCTAACAGTGATATCTGTAAATAGCCAATAAATTGAAAAGTCTATTAGGAAAAGAGATAGAATGTGAGTATTTAATTAGATTACGTAATAAGCACGTTAGGATTGAGGAGGATTCGTCGTAATGATATGATGTACCGCACATTACACATTAAACTATTGGCTATATCGATGCCAACAATATATTCCTCTATGCATCTCTCATTTCCGCGGAGACTTTTAAACAAGGAGAGGTCTCCTTTACGAGTCTTTTAGGGTTTATTTGCGAGTTTGAAAAGAAAGAAAAGAGAGGACTTTAAAAAATAGAAAATATTTGATAGGAAGAATAGAAAAATTTTGATTGAAAATGTTTAAGTAGTTTGTATTTTTTCATAACATTAAATATCTTTAAATATTGGAGAACTTAAAATTTGTATCGAATAAAGTTTTAGAAAATTTTAGAGGCTTAAACAAATTGTTCAAATATATTTTTTATTGTTATAGTATTTTAAAAATTAAAATACATTAATGATAAATATTATTTTATCATTTTAAACAATGTCTTTTATTCAAAATGTTAAAAAAAAATTATCATAATAATAAATAAACAAATTAAATTCTAAACAAAATTTTTAGAAACAAATTAAATTATAAATAAAATATTCATAAAAGTTATAAATAAAGCTATTATAAGATGAGCCGACAATGTTAAAATGTAGAATAAGCATCAACAAGAATTCACTTACAACAACCATAGAATTCTCTTATCATAATAATTAAATACTTAAATTGCACGATAAGCATCAACAAAAATTCACTTACGACAACCATATAATTCACTTATCATAATAATTATATCAATATATAGCATTATCATGTTATAGAACAACAACGTACACATAAATAATATAATATCAAAAAAGAGAAATTCAACAAAATAAAAAGGGAAATACTCACTAGAGAACAACAACGTACAAATAGCAACCGCACAATAGAAGATAAATGAAACGTGAAATAATACAGAGAAAAAACTCTAGTCTTTAATAATTCAATAAGAACAATGTTGTAATTAAAAAAATAACTGAGGTTAAATTAGGGAAAATAATAAAATTTTAATAAATGAATCTTCCTTCCCCTCCAAATCTCCCCCAATTTGGAGGGGAGCAAAAAGTGAGCCTATGAGAAATTTTACTCCCCTCCCCTTATAAAAAATGAATTATACAAATATATTTATAAATATCCCATCCCCTCTCCTCCATCTATCTCCAAATAAACGGACCCTTAGACCTTGTTTGAGAGTTTGAAAAGGAATGGAAGGGAGGACTTTGAAAAATAAGAAGAATTAAGTGAAAAGAATACAAAGATTTTGGTTGGGAGAGTTTATTATTATTCATAACACCAAAAATTCTATAATTTGGAGAAATTCAAAATTTGTATTGAAGGAGAATTTTGAAAGGCTTACATGAATTTTTCAAGTATCTTTATGTTGTTATAGTATTCTGAAAATTAAAAAACAATAATAATAAACATTATTTTATGGTTCTATAGAAAATATTTTTTAAAAAAAATATCAAATATTTTCCTATATTTTTTTTAAAAAATTCGTTTTTGTAAGCCTTCTCCTCTTTCTCTCCCCTCTAAACTCGCAAACAAAGCCTTAATAATTGTTTATGCTATCTCAATTCATTAATATATTTAAGATTTAAGTTTTTCTGATATTACTTGAGAAGAAATTGTTTAATTTAGAGAAGTTATTTTATAGAGAATAAAATTAGAGATAGAAAGAAATTTTTAATCTAAATAATTGAAAATTTTCTTTAGAGGTATCTAAGGTTGAGAAACGCTTCTAAGCACGATGAGATTAAGAGATTTAAATATTGATGATGTTGTAACCCAATATTTGTCCATAAGATTCTTCTATAATCTCATACCAACTCAATCACAACAAGATCACACTAGGGTTTGGTTCTTCTCCATATCTTTAGGTTTGCCTATGGGGAATCACGAATCACTTTGATTTGTATATTGTGATTATATATGTTTTGTATTGATTAACTTTTAACTAACAAATACAATGAATGTCTGCCCTAATTGATGCTATAGGTGAAAGCACAACATATTCCATCAAGTTGATATATAGGTTCATGAGTTTATTTCCATGCATTCTTCAACAAAACTTCATTGAGATTCAAGTTTCATCATTGAAGATGCTTTGAAGTAATATTATGACAAGGTCTATTGTGATTCATCATGCCTCAATTTGTCAAAAAAATCAAAGGATGCAAAAGTTGATTGAAGAGTTTTGACCTAATTGGACAAGTTATTGATTTCTTGATCACAAGTGCATAATTCCCCCAATTATTAGTATTTGGAGTTGGTTTTTGTTGCTATGGTTTCTCATTATCATCCTCGACAACTTCTATTTACAATACAAAAAAAGTATTTTTTCAAGAAATTTTGTCAAAATTGAAAAGGGTTTCTAAGGTATTTTGTTGCTTCAGGAGCTAGGTTTTGAACTTCTAAGGGCCTTATATTGCTCTTCTTTTGGTATTTTTAAGTGATTCCAAAGACATTCTTCTATTTTAAGAGTTATGAACAAATCACTTCAAGAGTTTCAAGAAAATTTTATGTGGAAGATGCCTAATGATGAAGAAAGATTACAAGTCCTCTAGATAGGCCATCAAATTCCCTTATGTGACTTCAAAAGATCATAACTTGGTTAATTTTTATCTTATTTAGCCCATTCTTTTTCCAAAATGATCTTAAGGGTGTGACCTTAAACTCTTCTTTTATGTGCACAACTTGAAAATGGATGGAAGATTCCCTAAGGACGCAAAAGATTATAGGTCATCTCATGAATTTTCACCAATTTTGCAAGACCTTAACTTTTCAATACTTGGTATTTTTGAGTGATTCAAGTTTCACAATTCTCTTTGGGAAGTCTAATTCAAGCTAGTATCATTGATAAAACCATGATTTTGAAGGAAGGCTTTGTTTGGAATCAAAACATTATAGGTCATTTTTGAAGAGAAAACTTGAAATTTTTCTAAGTATAAAAGTCAACATATTTTTCTCAACTTTGACTCATCACAACTTTTAACTCAAGCACCCATTTTATTCCATGCTTTGAAAATTATAAAGTTTGTGATCTCATCTTTTGAATGCATCAAGAATCAAATCCTAAGGTTCCCTAAATCGTGCACACTAATTATTCAAAGACGGTACCTTAAAATTGAAGTTTTCTCCAAAGTCAGATTTTGAAATTCATGATTTGGCCTCTAAACACAAATTTTTTGCACGTTTTTACTTCTAATCATATTTAGCAATCTTCCAGAAGTGATTAGCACCTTGAAACGCAAATTTTAGTTAAGTTTTGAGCAAAATAGAAGTCACACTTCTCATGCTTGCAATTTCACATGAATTCCCTCCAAACTTCACCATTCCACACGCTTGAGCATCCCATTCACTTTCCTATAAATAGAGGACCTAACTCCTCTCATTTTCTCAAGCTTG